TGGACCACCTTCACGTGCACGCGCACTAACATATCTCACAGTCCACCTTGTGGGGGTACGCGCGCACGGCCGTAACAATACGATCCGCCAGCCCCGCGTCGCCTGCAATGTCCCAGCGGCACAAAGGCCTCGCGGAAGTGGGCGTGGGGCCCGTGGTCCGGCTGCATCCAGTGGCCGGGGGCGTCGGCGACGACGAGGGTGAGGCCCGAGGGCACAGGCGGCAGAGTAGAATTGGTGCGAGGCGGTGATGTTGGCGCGGCCTTGGATCCAGAAGATGCGTTTTTTGACGGGGGGTTGGGGGGTGGTGGTGGGGAGGACGTAGGGGAGGGAGAGGCGGTAGGTGAGTTGGTGGGTGAGGGTGGTGAGGAGGGTGGTGGTGTTGAGGACGCGGGATTGCGCAATGATGGCGCCCATGGCGGTGGAGAGGAGGTGAGAGAGGGCTTGGGGGGTGGTGATCGCGTTGGTGGAGGATGGGGTGGTGGCGGTTACCGGGGCGAGGGGCTGGAGGAAGCTGCGGGCGGTGTGGACGACGGGACAGCCGCGCAAGCGGTATTCCAGGACATCGGACCGCGCTGGGGTGCCCGACTGGGCTGGGAAGAGCAGCCTCAGGGCTGTCGAGCGGTTGCCGTTCTTCCCGAGAGCGAGGGCGTCGAAGAGGTTGGTGGTGAGCAGTGTGGAGTGGGCATCTTCCAGCTCTTTCGGGTCCAGGTGGATCAGCTTCGTGGTGGAAGCTGCCGCGGTAGTGGCATCATCAACAAGGACGGCCTCGAAGTCCAAGGACCAGTGGGCTTGTGTGCCCTCGGCCACGACCGCTTGAAGGGCCCGTAGGTGAGCTGTGTGTGATGATTAGCAGGTTTCCGTGCCATGGTGGGACGCCAAATAGTAAACTCACCGGTGTTCCCATTGGCTTGTAGGGCTACTGTCCAATCCAGAGAAGGAGAGGGTGCTGAAGTCTTGACTTCGGCCATGATTTCTGTCTTGGCTTGGGAATCTGGGATTTACCGGAAGAGGTCCAGATCGAAATTGGGAAAACGTCACGGTCCAACTGCCGGGACGGGTGGTGGAATGACAAGAACCGATCGACGGGACACCTTAGGCAGGCAGGTAGTTCCCAAACAAGACGATAAAATGGTACAATTCTCGCCCCGTGGTGTAGGTGTAGATAGGTGGCTGGTGCTTGAAAGCGAGCCCGGTAGGACGAGAATGTAACTCTTAAATGCCCGATATTTTGACCTCCACGTGGTCACAATTGCTGGTTCTCCGCGAGTCGGAATTACAGGTCCCTGCCCCTCAGTGGTATCTGCGGCCTCAGGCGTGGCCATTCCTGTGACTAAAGACCGCCGCATTGTGCAAGTTGCGACTTCCTACTTGGGAAGTGAGGAGGAAGTGGCGCCATGAGGAGTTTCATGGGTCAGTTAGGGCTGCCCCACTCTATTGCTGGGCATCAGCAAGGTCTTTTTTTCTGCCGGTCGAAATCCACCTTGCCGTTCCAATCCGTTTCAACCTCCGTTTTATGGCCTTTCTTTGAACGACCTCAACTTCGAGTCTCTGGCGCTGTAGCATATTACCGCTGTATCAATGAATCCCTCTTTATGATTTTATACCCTAATTCCTTTTAGATACAGTATTTGACTCTTCATGCAGTGACTTTGAAAATGTGCCTACAGGCAAGACGCAGGTAGGTACGTATGAACATTACCCTCGCCAGAAAGTCACCTTTTGTTTCATGGTCTATTCTATTTTAACCACTAGAGTCTTTTGCAATACGAAAGTTGAATTCCCAAAAGCATCTGTTACACAAACACATTCATGTAGGCAGTAGCGGACTGTCCTCAACATCCCACCACACCACACCCACGCCCACCCTCACCGACCGCCAACCAAATAATTAGAGCCGCCATATCCCAAACACCAACCAACCCACCCCAAACCACCGACAACCACCGACAACCCAATTTCAGCAGCCCGTGCCAGCAGCCAGACGACAATCCATGCCCCTGACAACCCAAATTTGGTAACCTCCATGTGCAGCCAGAGCATGATCCACACCACTAACAGTCCGCCTCTGGCAGCCTCCGCCAGCAGCCAGAGGACACCCAACAACCCAAACTTCGCAACTTCCATGTGCAACCAGAGCAAGATCCACACTACCACGCATCCAGTCTTGACAGCCTCCGCCAGGAGCCCGAGTGTCATCCACACCACCGACCATCCGCCTTTGGCAGCGACCATCAGGAGCTCGGGCACGATCCACAGCATCGAGAGCGCAGTCCACAACAGCTCGAGTACAATCTCCAGCGCTTGGTCGCTGTACGGCCATGTCGACCGCACCAGCCAGCCCACGAAACAAAGTACCGCGACGTACAGCGCCAGCTGTATGAACCACCCTTCCCATTCGCCGGGCTCCGACCCCCTATTGTCGCTGCCGCCGGCGCCGCTGCCGCTGCCCGTGCGGGTATGGTATGTCGGCGGGCGGGCGTGGTGTGCCGGGGGGAGGGGATCGGCCGGCTGATGCGCCAGTGTAGAGGGCGGGGGGTCGTGGTGGTGGTGATCCTGGGCGTTGTCGACGCCGGTCTTGGACAGGGGTATGGCAGCGCAACGGAGGGCTCGGCCTTCTAATTCGTCGTTATCGTAGTCGTAGACCTTGTAAGTGTGGGTGGCGTCGTCGTAGATATAACACAGAGAAACAGACGGGAGATGTATATGGTGTGGACGGGGTCGGTTGGCTGGTGAAGCTGTGTAGGAGCCGTGGCTCTCGTAGGACAATCTGTCGTGAGTGGCGTCGTGGGTGACAGATCGCGGAGGAGACGGGGTTGGTGGGTTGGAATTGGGGAACCGGTGGATGACTGGGGCCGTATCGTGGTTGTGGGTGCTGTAGTCGCTGGTATAGTAATTGTTGGAACCAGATTTGTGGGCGTCGTAGTTGTAAATGTCGTAGTCGTGGGCCCCGACCGTCTGATAATCATACAACGACTCTGTCGCATTGAATACAAACCCGGCGTGGCGGGCCAGATTCCGGTAGGAGTCGCGGGTCAAGACGTACCGGGCCGTGCTCCCCTTGCGGTCGTAAGGTCGCAGACAACTCAACGGCAGGGTGTGTTGTTCTCGCGTGTTGACGTATGACTTCTTCCGCAACTGGAAGCCATCCTGCAAATAAAGTTGTATGTCTGTGTCTTGGTTCCGGGCCGGGTATATGGGCAAGTACGCTCGTCTCAAGTCGACAGAGAAGAACTTGTCGTTCACATCCCTTTCACCGAAGGATGTTAACTGTAGCGCCGTGTAGGCGGAATCGTTAACCACCCAACCAGGTAACATCCGAGAGAATGCAAACCTACAATGAGGACAACGACATCGTCTGAGGGCAATGCTCGTGGGGAGAGGACCACTACGGGATGGCCGTAGCACCCCTCACCAATCTCATCGTGTCTTGGCAGGTCATTCAGTTGAGGCAGCCATAGAATCAGTCCTTCGAGCGCGTCCGCCAATCCGGCCCGATGAGAACCCCAAGTTTGATGGGGTCGAACGTCGTTTATCACACGATGAGGCATCGTATCGATCATGCTCGCCGCCGAACATTGGGCAGAGTTGGGAGGTGGCCCAGAGTATTTGGCTTTGAATACCTAGTGATACAACGAGAAGCTAAAGCAGAAACTGAAGAGCGAGCAATGATCTAGCCAATTTCTTCCGCGGGATTAAGAGAGGTTGGTTGCTGTCCAGCGGGGTTTGTGAGGCCTATAAGTTCCGCCACGCAAACACCGGCCGTTGGTTGTGTCACCAACGTCTCGAGGCCAATCACAACAACAGCTTGTCGAAGCGGCCGGCCGGGGATGGCCCTGGACAGGCTTCCGCGTAAAGTTAACGGCATAAATACACGGCGGCCAACTGCAGGCTCGGCCACTGGCCAGCGGGAAGATTACCTAAATAGTAAAAGAAATCCAGGGATGTCCATGTAATCATTTTTTCAGCCTGGAACTCCTGGTGTATGAATGAAGTCATTCGAAAAGAGACCAAAGCCTAGCATTGAAGACTCCGATAAACACGAAACGAGGGAAAACAACAGATCTAGATTGCATTTACAGATTCGAGGGAAAAAAAGGGGGTTAGAGTAATGAAAGGAGAGCAGAGGTGTTGGAAGTTGTGGCACTTGGCACTCGGACATGGCTGCCCGACGTGGGCGCAATGCAGCCTACGTGGGGGGAGGCCAAGAGCTGACGACGAGCTATTTTACACAAGATGAGGGGAAGGACAGACAGAAACAAGGACAACCTTCAATTGATGACTTCTAGGATGCTCCGAGGATCCCAACCCACTGTTGTAAGCTTCAAAACATTTTGTGTGATAACCGTGGAATCGTGGCTGTTGGTCTTCCAACAAGAGGAAAAAGAAAAGTGGGGTGGAAAGAACATGACGGGGAAGAAAGAAGAAGCAGAAAAGGGAAGGGGAAACAAAAAGAACGAGAAGCAAGAAGACGCAGAAAAGGGAAGTGGAAAGAATATTATTATTATTATTGGGATTTGCTAGGGGGGCACTAGTCCTTTTGCTAGGGGGGCACTAGTACCCTATTGAGGGTTAGGGTTTTGTAGGAGACCGAATCTCCATCTTGATCAATCGCGACACACAAAACAGACCACACAGGGCAGGAAATACAGGCCCGGACTACAGTTGATATACACACATTGAATTCCTACTAATCTACGTACAATTACTTACAATTGTGATGTTCAGCCCACCTCCGGTGTCCTCAGATCGTAGACCTTCCCTGCCAGACTGCCCATCTCAGACAGCACTACCTGCCACCACTCGCAGCCTTGGCCGCCTTTGCCGTCAATCGGACCGCGCGGCCAGATCTGGTGACCCTCGCACCTGGCGCACCTGCTGGCGCTGGAAGTGAGGGTATCGCCACGTTGCCTGTGCCCTGGTCTGACTGAGCTCGTGGTGTTGAGGCCGTCGCCCTCGTACGTTTGGGTGCCGGCGCCGAGTCCCCCCCCGCCTGCGCCTTGCGCTTCTCGCTGGCAGTAGTCTCTGCAGCCGGAGCTGCCCTAAGACCTCTCCGTGGAGCTGAAGCTATCACCAACGTTGTTCTGGGCTCTGCTCGCTCAGCGGCTGAAAGTTGACTCTCCGCCGGCGCCGGCGCCTGGTCCTTCTTCTTGTTCTTGCTGCCTGGAGGTCTGCCGCGTCTCTTGGGAGCGGCCTGGGGCGGCCGAGGCTCCTCAACGGTCTCGTGCGCAGATAAAACGCGGCGAATACTCGGTTGCAGACGTGGAGCGTTGCCTCGTGGCGGGCCTGGTGTGCTTCCTGGTGTTCTTCGTCCTTGGCTTCCTTGGCTCCCTTGTGTCCCCGTCTCTTCTTTGGCTTCTTGGGGTCTTCGGCGATGAGGGTATTCCCAGACCATCTGGCAGTGGCCTTGCCGAGTTCTTGGGTCTACCTTTGCGGTTCTCGACGATCTTGGGCTCTTGGATTTCGAGGTATTTGTCGCGCTCAATCTGTATATACAGGCTCACGTCAGCAACGTTATCCTCAACGGAAGGAAGGGGCGGCTTTACAAGACTCATCTGGAGATGCCAATGGGTATGGACTTCGCGGAGTTCGAGTCTCTCCCGCCCTGCGAGCTTCTTATAGATGTCATGACGGCAGGGTATACTATACTGGATTGTTGCCGTGCAGGTATCCGGGTGGCAAGGCTCGAGAGGTCTGCGAATTGACTGTGATGGTCTGGTTGAGGGCATCGCGGCTTTGGCTCTGCGGTACTCGCCGACGATCAAATCGAGGGCTTTGTACGAGACTCTCAAAGGCAAAGCCCCAAGCCATGGTCGACTAAGGAAGTCGTGGCGCGCTCTGATGGCCTGCTTTGCCATCTCCTCAACGTTCTGCTGGACTTGCTTCTTGCAGAGATCTTGACTTACGCTTACAAGAGAGTAGGCGCTACTCCTCCCATTGATTAGATAGCTCTTGATACTCATGTTGTTCGACTCTGTTGGTGAGGTCGTTCGAACTCCAAAGTTCCGGTAGTGCCGAGTATAGCAATGGGCCCATTGGTCGCGGCAACTCATCCATTGCTTGTCGAGATAGCGCAGGAGAGCAGGTTGGTCAGAAAACTCTGCTTTCAAGTCCTTCTAGGCGCTCTGAAAGGCAGGCTCGTCGTCAGCGTAAACCATGGCCTTAAACATCTCCTCAACACCACGGGGATCGTGACTAATTGGCTTAGTGACTTTGCTGGTGGAGGTGTTGCGAGAGAGCAGTCGCTCCGCGTGGTCCTTCTCCATGGCTGCCCTCTCTTGTGGGGAGACGCCGTCGTAATCCTCGAAATCAGCGCGATACTCCTCGTCCTCGGAGTCGACCTCGTCACGGCCAGGATACTTGAACTTCCTTTTGGTGTTCAGCATGACGTTCTTGATAACGTGGAAGATACAGGTCTGTTGTTGGCTGTCAGGGAAGACCTCTGAAATGGCCTGCTTCAGCTCTTTGCAATGATCGGTGACTATCACTGCTGGTTCCGGTATGTTGAACTTGTCTCTGAGCTTCTTGGTCGCCTTCATGAGCCATCTGAAGGTCTGTGTGGTCTCGTCGGATACAAGGCCAAACATGGTACTCAACGTCTTGCCAACAGATGTCAAGCAATTGACCTGGTACAGTGGCATCCCCATGTAGTTCGTATTGTACGTCAGGTCGATCAACATACAGTCGTGGTAGATTGACGTAGCCTCGAGGCAGCTCTCGAAGCCCCAGACCAACGAACAGAAGATGGTCTCTGCGGCGTCAGCCCACTCAACCTCGTAGTGGTTGGCCGTATCACCGTCGACGTTATCAAGCGCCTTGATGAGAGCGCCGGCCGCAGTATACCCATCGAGGTTCACCTTCCGCATCTTAGCCCTAACGTTATAGATGTCCTTCCTTGTGTAGATGGTATCGTGCTCCTGGTTGACAACAGATCGAATCTCCCTGGCGCGGATGGAGGCATGGTTGCTGAGCTCTGCGATCGTATCGAGCGACTCCGAGTTTGACATGCGGTGTTGGGTATGAGCTGATGGATGAAGAGATGGACCGTGGTTGTGGACGGAGTGCTGAGGGTCAGGGTGGCTATGGAATCGCCAGCCATCCTTTGTTCGAGAGGCGGCGGCCTTCCACTTGCAGTCGCACTTCCGAGTCGCCGTCTCACGAACGCCGGCGCCACGAGGTGCGCGCGGACTACCGAAGCGATCGCACAGGATATCGAAGCGTGTATATAGACCGTCTTGCTTGTTGCGACCGTGGCGGCGGACCACGGCAAATCCTCGGGATCTGGCCCACGCGTTGATGGCTCCCTGGAGCTCCTCGATCTTGGCGAAGTCCGTGGCGAAATCGCTGTCCTTCGGGTTGGGGATCACATCTCCCTGGAGAAGAGCACTGTCCGGAACATCCCACGGCTGTCCATCAATTTGGCTGGGGCGGCCGGGCTCTGGCGGACCGTCGTCTTCGCCGTTGTCGTCAGAAAAGCCGTTCCACTCGTCGTCGTTGTCGCTCATCTTGTGCGCCGAGGGCTGCGAGGGTGCCCTGTACTGACGTGCCGCGAGTGATCTGGGGGATAGGGTGAGTTGAGGGTTACTGTATTGGGAAGGCGGTCAGCTTACTGCTTGGCCCGGCCAACTGCACGAGGAAGTGGTGCATCTGATCAATTGCGCGCGATCTTTTGGTGTGGAAAAACTAGTGAGATTCGGCCTCTTGGTGGCTGTCTTGGGGCCTGTCCGAAGGCTCCAGGTCTGGCCGTTGGATCTGTTGTGGACCTTGGATTGTTTTAGAGATGGCAAGCGGCTGGTTGGCGGACCTGACAACTGCCCCATACAAAACCCTAACCCTCAATAGGGTACTAGTGCCCCCCTAGCAAAAGGACTAGTGCCCCCCTAGCAAATCCCTTATTATTCATACTCCGCTATGCCCTAAGGCGTGCCGGACCCTCAGCTAAGAAAACCATGCCCTCGCGGGCCGGATGAAAAACTCATACCGACTATTAAGGAAAATACGTGTGTGTGAGCCTAAGAACACAAAGGGAGGAGGCCTCCTGGCCTCCGAAATGGGGGGGGTTGTTAGGCCGCCGCTTCCAGCTCGAGCCTCCTTGCCAAACTGTACATCGGCAGCCTCCCCGAGTCCATCAGCCAGCCCAGGACCCTCCTCGTGAGCAGTGTCGTTGCAGGATCAATACCGTGTAGAACAGAGTAAAAGTCCCGTCGCGTTCGAATTCCGGTTCTCTCCCATCTTCGAGTCAGCGGTGGTAGTGGAAAGAAAAAAAAGACAACTTCACAGGGCAATTAATTCCACTCTTGAAATTGCGCTTCCATTGTGATCCCCCATTCTATCATACATAATTGTAACCATTACCACACAACTACGGTCTACCCGCAAAGTCACACATGATACTTGGAAAGACAATCCGAACGCCGTCAACCTAAACAACCGGGATTGACACCTTGTGCTGCCTGTCAACGATAGGAGGGCCGGCTGTATCCATCTTCTCCAGTCCCCAGCCGCCGACCCGTTATCAAGGCCTCTTCGCCTGGTCTGCTGCCGCTTGCTGGATGGTCTTAAACCGGTAAGCTCAAGGTGTTAGAGTTCTTGACATAACCCCTGTCTTGCCGCGCGCGAACGGAGTTTTTGAGTCTTGATCAGGCAAGGGTGTCTCCTTGACTTTCTGCCGACACAGTGCGTAAAAGACAAATATGGCGGGCTATCCGAGTATGCCAGCGGGTCAGCATCTGAGGTAGGTACCTTGGTAGTTATTTGGATTCCGTACAGATGCTCGACGTGCTACATGTAGGAAATGGAGGTCAATACCTAGGCACCTAATGAAGTTGTGAAGTTGAAAATAGGCAGGTAGTATCGACCATGGGGACCGATTAAATGGATCCGATAGTTAACTATGATGTCGTAACTCTTTTTGATATATCCCCATTGTGCACACCATCTAATGATATGCGAGTGGAGCGGTAAATGCACCACCGTGGCTTATGTCGTTACAAGTTTGGATGTTCCTCTCAAACTTGCTCTCAGCGCCAATGACTCCACGCGCTGTCTGGTGGGACTTGACGCTCTCCGTGAGGACGTCAACCAACATCGAGCGGGGTGGCGGCTCCGGGGGCCAGCGCCGCGAATCAAAGCGCCTTCTGTGGCCGCCGACATCTTGTGTGACGAACCTACTTCAGGACCCTGTCCTGTTAGGGTTCAGCTTCGGTTGAAAGTAATCTCTCAAGGGTGCTTAGGTTCGGTGCAGCCAAAGGGTGCACAACAAAGACTTGTCACAACAGTAGGCTTTCGAACTTGTAGCGAACTGTAGTTGTGATTGCTAACTGGAGAACTCCCAGAGCTCTCCAGAACGGGTGACTGTATACTATCTAGGCTTCCTAGGTACCGGCGTACCTTTTGCTGGGAACGTGAGGAACGGTGATCGTTCCTCTCGTTCCAGACTGGATCCTGGGAACGGTAGCCGTTCCCTTCGTTCCTCTGCTGATTGGTCTGAGACCCATTCTTAATGATTGGCTGGGAACGCTTCCCGCGCGTGCCCCCATCGGGGCGTGGTACGCGACCATAACCGTGACACGATGCCCCTCCTCCAGATCTTCCGTCCCGGAAGACTTGCCAACCTTTTTATCCTTAAGTTGCGCCGACAGCCCTAGTCAAGGTGGGTACGTTCCTCCCTGTCCATTCCATCCGTCCCATCCGTCGTCATGAGGGACCGTATAAAGAAATCCCCTAGGTCGCTGACCGCTGAAAAGAAAGCAGAGCAGCGCGACGCCCTTCTCGAAGCTATCCTTCGGAACGCCATTACCATGAAACGTCCCTGTTCTTTTTGCAAGTCCCGTGGGTACACTTGCAAGTCTTCTCCTTCCGATTCCTCCAGTTGTTACGAGTGCGTTGCTCGCCACGAACCGCATTGTGACGCCCAGGGCGTCTCCTTACAGCAGTTGCGTCGTATTACTAGTCAGTACGATAAGTACGAGGTCGAAATGGAGGAAGCGGAGCGTGCGCGTGCTGAGCTGGATGCGAAAATAAATCGTCTTCGTTTGTTAAAACGAAAATGGTCCGAGAGCATGTCTCGTGCTTTGTCTCGTGGCGTCGAGACTGTGGAGGACTTGGAAGAATTGGAGCGGCAAGAAGCGGAGGAATCGAAGCGGCGAGAGGCTGAAAATGCCGCAGCTCAGCCTTCGTTGGACCCTGCTTCCGAGGAGGCCTTTACTGACCCCTCCTGCGTGCCCCCTTTGGTCGATCCGGGTTCCTCCGATGGAAGTCCTCCAACTCCTCGGGGCAGTTGAAGTTTATAGCTGGTTGCCATGAATTGTCTTCGGGTCCGAATCCCAACCATTTGACTAAATATTCCACTCGTCCCTTCGTGATGCGCGAGTCCAGGATTTCTTCGACGTCCCAGAGTTCTTCCTCGTCTTCTGCCTCGGCGCCCTTGTCAAGCCGCGCGTTCTTGGGCGCTGGCTCCAGAAGTGAAATGTGGAAAACGTTGGTCCGTAGTCGCATTGTTGAGGGTAACGTGAGTGCGTAGTTATTCTCCGAAATTTTCTTGTCGATCTTGAATGGTCCGATTTTGCGAAAATCGAGCTTCCTGCTTGGTCGCTTCGTGCGAAGATTTCGAGAAATGAGGTAAACTTTGCCCCCCTCTTCTAGGCGAGGTCCCTCGAGCCTGTTCCTGTCGTAGAACTTCTTCATTCTGGTTCTTACGAACTCGAGTTCTTCCTTGAGCATCGCATGCAGCGAGTTCATTCTGTCAGCCTTGACTGCCGCTCTGGGCACCGAAACGTCGGGCCCCTGTCGCAAATCCGCTTCGTAGCCGTAATTCGCGAAGAATGGCGTAATCTTCGTGGTCTCCGTGACGGTGGTGTTGTAGGCGAGTTGCGCTGTTGGCAACAGCTCGACCCAATCGTCCTGTTGGAAGTTGATATACACTCTCAGGTATTGCTCGACGATCTGGTTGAGTCGCTCCGTCTGTCCGTCCGTCTGCGGGTGGTAAGCTGTCGAAAGCTTACTCCTCGTACCCAGCTTCGTCATCAGAGCTTGCCAAAACTTTGATGCGAACTTTGTGTCTCTGTCCGTGATCCATTCCTCCGGCCATCCATGGACCGAGGTGACGTTGCGATAGATCACGTCTGCGAGTTGTTCTGCTGACCATGACTCCTTGTAGGGGAGGAAGTAGCTCCACTTGGTGAGTCTGTCCACCACTGTGAGGATGCTATCGTACTTCGTTCCCGTCGCTGAGTCCTTTGATGTCGGAAGCTTGGTGATGAAATCCATCGTCACCGAGCTCCATGGTCGTTCTGCAACTGGCAATGGTTGCAACAGTCCATACGGCTTGTGTGGCCGTGGTTTGCTTCGTCCGCAGAGGTCGCACTCTACCAGGACTTCTTCCGTCGCTTGCTTGATTCCTGGGAAGTCGTAATTCTGTTTGACTTTTGCGACTGTTTTGCTGATTCCCATGTGTCCTCCGAGTCTTGACTCGTGGATCTTTCGAATGAGCTCTTTTTGGTCGCTGGGCCTGACGTAGGCCTTGTCGTGGTACCAGAGTCTCGTTCCTTCAAGTCGCAATCCTGCGATCTTGGATTCTGGCTCTTCTTGCCATGCATCGCGCTCGTCGTCCGCGATGGTTCCTTGGAAATCTCGTTCCAATCTCTGCTCCCTGAAGGCCGCACAGCATTCTACAAACGGTTGTAGAGGTCTGGCTTCGGGATCTTCCGACTGCTGCTGAAGTGCTGCGATCTCGTAGTCCTCAGTCGGTTGGGAAGCGTGCCGTAGCGATCCGTCTGTCTGCTGATGTAGCAATGGTGGTGAGGCTTCAGATGTGTCGTCGTGGTGATCCGCTCTCCTACTCAAGGCGTCCGCTCGTGCGTTCTCCGAGCCTTTCTTGTAGTGGATCGTGAAGTTGAATTCGGACAGGAATTCTGCCCATCGAGTTTGTCGTCCGTTCAACACCTTCGTGGTGGTGAAGTATCGTAGATTCTTGTGGTCCGTGTACACCTGGACTTCGTGTGTCGTGCCGCTGAGGTACGGTCTCCATTCCTGAAATGCTTCGACGATCGCGAGAAGCTCCTTGTCGTGGATCGGGTAGTTGAGTCTTGGCCCCTCGAGTTTCTTGGAGAAGAACGCAACTGGGTGCAGCTTGCCGTCCTTGTCCCTCTGACCAAGTTGTCCGCCGATTGCGAAGTCCGAAGCGTCAGCTTCAACTTCGAAAGGCTTGCTCGGATCAGGCAGCATGAGTACTGGATCGGCGGTAATTGCGTCGCGGATCCGTTGGAAAGCCTGCTCGTGCTCCTGCTTCCATCGATCAGCACGGGCATCGTCCGCCGAGACGCGTAGCAGAGCGATGTTCTGGACGTGTGAGCGGATTCGGGCGCCCAGCTGGCCCTCGAGCGATCGTCAAAGTCCTAGTATATCGTCCGCTGGCTCAGCCTGAAACCTTCCCATGGAACGAAGAGCGCGAGGGTGCAGGACTGCGTTTCTGTATGTGACTTGTAAGCCCTTTTCTTTTACGCCAAGAGGACCTGATACCTACCTCTACAAATTTCTCGTCTGCTCAAACTTACCTTCCAAGGCGGAGGCGTTAATAGATAGGAGACAGACGAATCGCAGTCTGTACAAGTGGCGCTGGCACTGCCCCGTGATGGCGGCTTGACTCCGTACGCCCCATTATTTTGCACTGGAGCAGGACCTGGCTGCTAACACTTCCAAGTGTCATCCCCCGCCAGCTCGGTGGTCCCGACCAAACAGCTCCTTGGCCAAGCACTTCAGCACATGTGTCCTTTGCCGGCCCCGTCGAGCTAGATACCTTCCATATCAAGCAAGGAGTCTGGCCGGAGCCGCTGGTCAAGACTTTGGTGTTCGCCAAACTCGGGTCTTACTTGCAGCCAGAGAACGACCGCCCTCCTCGCGAGGGCATACACATATGCCACGTCCTCGTTCTCTTCCGCGTCGACCATCAACCCTGGAAGTCTCTGGCCGGGTGGATGCGGACCGCCGCAAACCCCTTTCCTAAAGGCTCGTGCATCACATGCAGTGCTCGACTCCTGGGGGTTCTAGACCGCGACCTAATCTGAAGGCCTCAGCTAGTCGATTCCACCGTTCGAATCCTGGTAGTTCTTCCCGACAACTGGGAATTCATTCGGCAGAATTCCTTGTCTACCAACAATACACCCACGTCAAAATCATCGAACCTTGTCGACTAGTCACCTACGACACCACGCCCAGCTGGCCGCGGAGGAGTCGCAAGCAGAAACCCATTCTCGTCACCAAACCGTGCCCCAAAGACCGCAGAACGCGAAACGACCGCACTAGCAGCCAGCCCTGGAGCAGCGGTGGCTTCAATCACGGCGAACTCTGCCCCGATGTCCGCAGTTCCATCTTCAGGTATGTCTCGCCGCCTGCCAGACCCACGGCTCACCTAACCGTTGATCCAGATGGCGATGACTCGAACGATGGTTCGGACACAAAGAAACTATTGGACGCTCAACTCGTCTCGAGCAGCAGTACCCCGACAAAGAAAAGGAAGGAACCAAGCTCTCCGGAACCGGCCAGAAGCAAGAGATCCACAGCGGGAAGAAAGAAGGCGCGGCTGTATGACTGACTAGCTTTTGAGGTTGACCAAAGAACTGCTTTTGCTTGCTTTCCCAACATTCGTCAACCGTCCTAAAACTGATCGACCAACCATATTCTGATGCCGCTATGGGTTACCTGCGCCGGCCCGTTCCTCCAGGCTTCCTTTGGCGGGCCCGCGCGCAGCGGGCACGGCCACTCTTGTGATAGACAAGAAGGGAAAACGTTCCCAGCGTCTTGCTCTAATTAAACGGAGTCCGTCGCCTTCCGTTTCTCAACCGCAATAGGCAGGCGGTGTAAGGCCGCTTAGACAAATTGAAAGAGGACCCGACCCCAGGACCAGGGGCGAAAGCAGACATCTTCCGGAGCCAAGCTGCCAAAGCCAAGCCTGCACAAGGGTCGCAGCTGGAAACCTGCTCAACTTGCTCAGCAGCACCGTGCCCCTGGGCGCCCTGCACGCCCTGCACGGGAGTGGGCCGGACGGGAGATGGCCGCCGCTCCCTTCCCGATCCGGAGCCCGGTGCGGATAGCGGGGGCATGCGTCCGGGGGTCGGCGCCGCGGGAACGCAGGCACAGGCTACAGCAGCGTTGACAGGCGAGACAGGCTCACCGTGGACCGGGGGGCCACGACGGCACCTCCTCTGCACGCCAAGATGTCTTGTGGCCACCTGGTAAATGGTTGAGGGGCTCCGAGAGCGAGTTTGAGCAGGTAAATCACTCGGTTTTAGTGCGGGATGTCGTGGGATGCTGACGTGCCTTCCGGCACTCCGTGACTAGGACGCTTCTGGGGCGGCAGGAGAGGCTGGTGGCTAGACTCGCGGGGTGGGAGCCGGGATGGAGGCAGTAGATAAGGTAGTAGTTGTGAAGGTTACCTACCTAGCAGAGAAGATCAGTCGTCTGCATTGCTAAGGGTCGCTGCAGTTGTCACAGTGCCGGGTCTCTCTCGTAGGGCAACTTAAGCAAAAGATTGCACAGTCCTTGATGCTTCTTATCAGTGTTTCCTGATCTATTGATGCACCCGCCCGTCATGGACGCATCGAACAATGTGTTTCGCGGCACCAGCGCGGTGGCAGACTTCTTCGACCCCGACAAGAACCCCCCACTGCCACTCGTCGAGATTCCCGACCGGCTGAACCCGTACAGGCAAGATGGTGTGCGCATATATGCCAAGATGCTCACGCATCTGCCTGCCCAGAATGTCAAATCCTTACCCGGTACGTCTTGCAATATGATGCTGTGTGCAGCGGTGCCGTGCAGAGTCGAGAGAAGAGGGTGTTAACGGGACCCACAGCACTCAAAATGCTCCGAGGACTGCCAGAGGCACGGGATAAGGCGATCGTCGAAGCAAGTTCCGGCTCGACCGTGTTGTCCCTTGGCATCATTGCCCGGGTGCTCTGGGGCCACGACAACAGTCAACGCATATGTGACGAACAAGAAACATCCCGAATCTCTTAACCTACTCCGTTTCTTTGGAATTACACCGTATGAGCCCCGACCTACGTTCTTGTTGCCCCCCGAACGTAAACTGAAGAGATTAGACATTTGTATGGTGGGTTCGCACAACAAGAGCCAACCGATGAGACGGGGATTATGTGCCGGCTGCGGCGACTCGCGGCAAATCGAGACGACACCACATATCCGGGGCAATATGATAACGAGAACGTGAGTTCTTGTCACATGGCACCAGCCTGAGGAGTTGCTGATAATTGTCCAGAACTGGAAAGCGCATGAGCAATGGACAGGACCACAAATCTTTAGACAACTCCCAGAAATCAACATATTATGCACCACAGTGGGTACCGGAGGCTGTATCACTGGGACGGCGTCATATCTTAAGTCACAAAAGCCGTCATGTCGGATACTAGGGTGAGTGGCCATCTTCATGAGGGTAATCTTGCCACTAATGGTCTTGATAGCGTTTTCAATGTCTTTGGCGATCCAACCCCTGGCCCACGGCACTTCCAGGGATTCAACACATGTGGATTCCCTTGGACACAAAACGTCGACACCTTTGTCGAAGTGCCATCGACAGACTCGTTTCGCATGTCCATGAAGTTGACGAGGGAAGGCCTCATTGCCGGTCCCTCGTCTGGGCAAGCACTGAAAGGCCTCCTGGATCATATCGGACAGCTCAAGGAGGCCGGTACAATCGCCGAGCTGGCTGATCCCACCACCGGGGAGGTATCCTGCGTGTTTACGTGCAGTGATCTCCCATATCAATATCTGCCGCAGTATTTTCAGAAGCTAGATGCCCATGAGTTCCCATCCATCCAAAACAAGGTAACCGGAGCCCGCCAGTTTTCTCGGCAGCTGATCACAGCAGCACTAACAAACCCAACCCATAGATACTCTTACAGATGCGACCAAGCACGCCACGACGAACGCTGGATCCTCGAGCCAGCCCAAGCCGCCGCGATGCTCCGTCTCAACGACCCACCAGAATTGCTGCCCCCTCACAAGGACGAAACCACCATTTCCTCCGCCAGCCTCGACTCCTCCATCCAAGCAACCCACCTCCCAGCTACCCCCACCACCCTCACCAACCGCCCCCCAACACTCTGGTCGACCCTTCAAATCCTGCCTCGCCGGGCCTCCTCCACCCCAACCACGCCTCAAACGACCCCCAACCATCACAACCACCAACAACCCACAACCCCCCCTTAAATGTAACCATCCCCCCCTCCACAACCCTCCTCCTCGACCTCCGCCAACCCGGTGCCGAGGGGGGCCCTACCAAGCCTTGTCCTCTCGCCCGGCGGAGGCCCTTGGTCGCGTGTTAAGAATTATATTAATCATAGTTAGCGAGGAGTAGGTCCGATCGCAACGCGTGGGGTGTTCGGACGACTGGGCTTAATCGACGGGCCGCGCGCGCATCATCATTTAATGATGAAGATCCCTTGATCGTATCAAACCAGGTCCCGAGCCGGGCCGGGAAAACGGGTGGAGCTCGTCTCGTCCAGCCACGCTCACGCACGGCCTTCTCCCTGAGTGAACCCTCAACATGTGTGTCGCT